TTTGCAACTATAAATTTTATATAGAAACGAAGAAAACAAATATATTTTATGAGTAGAAAATAAAATCAAGGTCTCAAAGAATGTTGGTCCTCACAGAAAAAAACCTGAATTCAAAGTGCAGCAAAAATGAGTCAGTAAAATGGCGCCACGTTCTATGTCGTTTAGCATTGGTTCATTTTTATTGCACTTCAAATTGAATTTGATAAACTCATTTTGGGTTCATTTTCTATTATTATTAGAAGGTTGTTGGTTGTATCAAAAAGTTACAAAAATTTTCTCAAATTTTGAGCATGTGTAGGTCAGAGGCTGCAGAACTCAGTTTTCCGCCGTCACGTCAAGTTGCTTCACAAATTAATAAAATTCGCCAAAAGTAACTGTGAACACGATATAAATACTGCCCTACAACGAAAGAAAAAACATAAGCCACATTGTCGCTTCAGTCGCTCTTCCGCAGTGTTTATATACAGAACTCGACCAAAGCGACATTGTGGCTTATGTGTGTTCTTCCGTTGTAGGACAGAATAAATATAAGCAAAAGATTCTATTAAAAAACAACTTTAACATACTGAAAAAATATTATATAATGTTGAGCAATCAAAGAAACTCCTAAATATTCAAAATTGAAAATGGCGGATCCAATATGGCTGACGAATTTTATAAAAATTTATTAAATTTACCTGAAACTTGTTACTCGGAGGTTTTTGGGGTCGTTGAATACCTAATTTCACCTTAGGTTAAAAAACTCAGTATATGTCGGATCCTATATAGGAACGAATGGTTAAAAAATTTTCTAAAAATTTATCAGATTTACTTGAAACTTGTTACTCGACGGTTATAGTTTATAATATAGTATATTGTTTGGGATCAATAAGTACAAATTTGAACTCAGAAATGTTCAAATTTGTCATTATTGTCATTCTTAAGAATAAAACGTCGGTGAAGTTTACAACGTTTATGATCAACGATTAAAAAAAAAAATATATTTTCCACTCAAAAAATAATAACTAATTTTTTGCCTATAAATTTTTTTTCAAATAATTGTTGATTAAGAGACGTTGCAAAAATTTTATAGATCAAAAATAATAATAATTTGCATAGGAAAATATTTTTTCTTCTTAATCGTTGATAATAAACGTTGTGAACTTCACCGACGTAGAATAAAAGATTATAATAAAAAAGCACTAAGGTGAAATTCGTATTCAGCAACCCCCAAACCCCCGAGTAACAGCCAAGGTAGCGCAGAATTTTTCAGGAATTTAATAGGAAGTTAACGACTATAAGTTCGGAAGTTATCACTGTTAACTTTCCAGAAGTTTTAACTGTCCTCAGAGTTTAAGTTAACACTGTTAACTTGCTTTAATTTAATTTAAAATTTAAAAAAATATATTTTTTCAAGATGTATGTATTTCAGTACACGGAAAGGAAAGTTATCGTTGTCCCAACCATGAAAATATTGTTGGTCATAATATTTTTGAGGCATCGATACATATATAGCTGAAGCAGCTTTCAGTATGGATACATTGACAAAAAAAAATAGTTGTGGCAACCATATAATATTTGTACCTATGATATGTATATATCAACCATAGCTTTAGTTGAGGTAATAATATTGGTTTGGATTTTAACAATTTTGTTATCCTATTCATTTTTGAATTGCTAAGGCCCCTATAGACGCCTGCGCACCTTGTCTACGCGGTGATGTAATATATTACGTCTATATTATTCGCATTAATTCCACAGCCACACAAAAAAAAAAGTACCCGGGCCGGGGAATGAGACCACCATTTCTTGATGTATTTTGATGCGCTGAACACGAATCTGAAGTCCGTTTAGCTCCATCACGTCAGGATTTTGACATAACCTCAAAAAACATAGCTGATTTTAAATGACAGGAGAAATTTTTTAAATAATGGCAGATTTGTTTGAATCTTGTTACTCGGGGGTTTTTGGGGTCGCTGATTACGAATTTAACGTCAGATTTATAAAATTCAAAATGGCGGATTCAATATGGCGGGCGAATTTTTAAAAAGTAGTTGGATTTTTACGAAAATTAGTATCTAGGGGTTTTGGGAGTCGCTGATTACAAATTTATCGCCAGATTATTCAAATTCAAAATGGCGGATCCAATATGGCGGACGAGTTTTTAAAAAATAGTTGAATTTTTATGTAACTTGGCCGATACTGGGGTTCCGAGTCCCTCCATCGTAATACGTTTCCTACGTGTGTCTGCCATGATGGCATCAAAGCCATTATCCAGGGACTTAGCCGGATAGCGGACAAACTCCGTTGTCACCGTCACCGCGTGGAGGTACCCTGGATGCAGACACATGTAGAAACATAAAGATATTTGACCACCGTACTATATCTGCCATTTTACATTTGAATAATCTGACGTTAAATTCGTAATCAGCGACTCCAAAAAACCCCATGATACCAATTTTTGTAAAAATCCAACTACTTTTTAAAAATTTGTCCGCCATATTGGATCCGCCATTTTGAATTTGAATAATCAGACGATAAATTTGTAATTAGCGACTCCCAAAACCCCTAGATACCAATTTTCGTAAAAATCCAACTACTTTTTAAAAATTCGTCCGCCATATTGGATCCGCCATTTTGAATTTATTAAATCTGACGTTAAATTCGTAATCAGCGACCCCAAAAACCCCCGAGTAACAAGATTCAAGCAAATCTGCCATTATTTAAAAAATTTCTCCTGTCATATAAAATCAGCTATGTTTTTTGAGGTTATGTCAAAATCCTGACGTGATGGAGCTAAACGGACTTCAGATTCGTGTTCAGCGCATCAAAATACATCAAGAAATGATGGTCTCATTTCCCGGCCCGGGTACTTTTTTTTGTGTGGCTGTGTTCCAAGCGTTCCGGTTAATGTGTTTTTTAAGTTAAAAAATGGAAGCTGAGTGCATTAATTTCTTTAAAAAAATAGGCTTCGAAGTTGACTGCGTCCTTTTAAACAATTTACATTCACCTTTCTCAGTCATAATTTGTAAATGGGGAAATTCTTCAATGTTTGCGACACTTAGGCACGTACTATATAATTATAATACTATATAATAAAAGGTGCGATACGATTGTTTATTTTGTTAACGAATTTGTATTTGGCGATTATTTCAAAAAAATAAATACGTTTTTCTGGGACTCAATGTTTTAAATTAATCAAAAATAACCTTATTGATAATATTAAACAAATAAAATAAACATAAATTGTAACCATATAAAATGGTTGCTTCAACAATATTAATATGGTACACTAAATAATGGTCGAAGCATCAATTAAAAATGGTTGTCACATCCATATTAGCATTTGTATGTTTTCCAAATATATGGTTCCCACAGCCATATATTCTAGTTGTGCTAACAATTTAAAGCTAGCTATTTAATATGGCTGGAGCAACCGGAGGTATGGTTGGGACGTAATTTTAGATATAATATGGTTGAGACAACCAAAGGTATGGCTGTGGCAACCATTGATTTTTTTCTGTGTACATCCATAGCTTATCTATAGGGAAATGTAATCAAAAAGTATTGCGCATCAGCCCTTGCTGCCATAACAAACATCTGCGCAAGGAAATAGATTTTTATAAGTTCACCATAAAAATTTTGTGTAAAATTACAAAGGAAAACTTTCAGCAAATTTACTTTTCTAACTTTTCATAAGTTAACAGTGTTAACTTAAACTCTGAGGACATTTAAAACTTCTGGGATGTTAACGGAAAGTTAACAACTTTAACTTCCAAACTTATCGCCGTTAACTTCCTCTTAATTTCTTTTAAAGTTCGGTGCTATCTGGAAAGTTTCAGGTGAATGGAATGAATTTTTAAAAATTCGACGCCATATTGGATCCGCCATCTTAAATTTTTAATATTTACGATTTTCTTTGATTGCTAAACATTGTATAATATTTTTTCAGTGTGTTAAAGTTGTTTTTTAGGGTTTCGTGGCCCAGAGCCGAAAGCCTTATAGTTTCTCTTTGGCGTCTGTCCGTCGTACACTCGTATGGTTGCCATGGTAACAGTTACCATAGCAACCGTTTCCATGGCAACCATTTCTATAGCAACCATACATTGGAAAAATTAAAGGAACTCTGTTATCTTTGTAGAGAAAGTTGTTGTGTTTTACACGAAAGGGTAGCGTACTCTATTACAGAGAGAGAAAGAGCTGATACTCTAAAAAAAGCGAACTGCTACTCTTTTTAGCGATCAACTGTTGTAATTTGACTGATTTTTAATAGAATCTTCTGTTTATTTTTATTTATATCGTGTTCACAGTCACTTTAGGCGAATTTTATTAATTTGTGAAGAAACTTGACGTGATGGCGGAAAACTGAGTTCGGATTCGAATTCAGCGACCTAAAAAACATATATATAAAAAACATGGTCCGGTCAATATTTCCTTTAAAAAAAAATTTTGTGGCATCGTCATAAAACAAAAGGAAAAAGTTGAGAATACATGGTTTATAATTTAATTAAAAATTTTCCTACAATTTTGTGAAAAAATTTTCCCATAAAGTTATTTATATGTTATATATATATATATATAATTGGGGAGTATATGCGGAAAATTCGTCGACCCACCTGTGCGTTAAACAATTAAAATAGGAATCAATTTGTCGATTTTGGTGCGCTGAGGTTAATGAGGTGACCTATGCAACTTTCCCGACACCGGCCGGTGTATGTGGCATGGTAACTTTTTCTCATATAGTTTCCTTTTGCTATCGCTATCAGCTGCATCGCGCCACGGTGGTTAACGTCGACGCAAGGGGTTGTTATATATATATATGTATTGTCATGCGCTCCTTCTCTTATCTAAGTGGGGGGTCAAAATTTCTTGCGCACGCGCTTTCAATTCACACAGGATCGCCGTTCATTTTATATAGTGTGGGAGGGGGGGGGGTGTTGGTGGAATTGCTCTCTGGAACCGGCGAGGGGGTTGGAGAGGTTGATCGGGGTAGAGAGAGAAAGAGGAACCTTCTGTGTATGTGTATGTATGTATATGCGAAACCGACGCAGCAAGTGAGGGGCCGCTAAGACTGTCAGAGAGCCGGCAGCCCGCAACGCGAGCTGCTGTCTTCAATTTCCGCAATTTTTTCGACTTTCAAAAAAAAAAAAAAAATACAAATTACACGAGAAATTAAAAAAAAAATTTTTTTCTATTTTTTCACGAGCACTGCGATTTGTAATCCTTGAAAAAAAAAAATTTCCTCCTCCATCACCTTTTGTTCCGTTGGCGGTGGATAAAGTCGCGTTCATCGTTTCCGGGCTGACAGCAGAAACCGCACACTACAAGAGAAAGGGTAATCGAAAAATAAAAAAAAAAAGGGAGGAGAGACCGTCTCTCCTCTCGCGAGGCCTTTTCTGAACCTTTCCCTTCACTTCCAGGATTTGGATAGCCGAGAAAGTTAAGGTGAGTTATCAAAGGTCCAGTTTCATTTTTTTTTTGTTCTTGAGATCCCATTTTTAAATACCCCTTTGTGACTAGATCAGCTGATTGTGGATCATGTATAAGGGTTTTTTTTTCCCTAAATGTTTTATTACGGTGAAATTGCTTGCGGTTTACACTGGGAGGGGTTGTTGCCAAGGGAAGTACTACTGCAGTGTCAAGAATGAAGTGGGGCAGGTTCTAAAAGTTTAATCGGTGTTTTTTTTTCCCAGTGATTCAACCCCAGTGCGGCTTTGTTCAATTTTCAGTGTTCCCCTTTTTTTTCCTCGAGTGCTTCTTCATTATTGAAGTGGTCAGCGTTTTTCCTCTTAATGGTGATTAAACACGTCAAGTGGAAATTTAACCTATTATTTTGGATTAGAGTCTTTAGAAAATCCGGATGGACTATATAATACACTCTAAATCTGAATCAGTGAAAATTTCATTGAATTCAAATCAATGGCTCAGTTTTCTTTAATTCACTAGTGGAATTTCACTGGGTATCAGTAAAAACCAATGATTCTCAGTGAAATTCCACTGGTAAATTAAAGAAAACTGAGCCACTAATTTGAATTCAGTGAGATTTTCACTGATTCAGATTTAGAGTGTACAGATTCTTGTTTGAAATTTAGAATCTCAAATGAAATAAATTTTGTCAGTGATTTTGATTGCGATAAAATAATTTCAATGAGAATCAAAGAAAGAAGATAATTGTAAAAAGAATTATGCTGATAGAGGAAAAAAGTATAGAGAAAGAAATTAAAAAAGGGTATAAAACAAGAAAGGATTAAAATTTTAAATTAAATTTAAAAAAAAAAACAGTCGTCAAAAAATAAAATTAAAAAAGTTTTTTATTTTCAGAATTTTACTAAGGCAATTGATTCTATTCGTGAGATGTAGGATATATATGATTTTTCTTTTGAATCATCTTGTCTCATCTACTACACCATCTCTTATCATATTCATCTCGTATTCTGATTGCCCACTCATCTATTCAAAATCGAAATCAGATCTTCTATTGGAGTATTTCACCCTCGGGGTTATTTATAAATTGAACTCCGAGTCTTAAAATATCCAAGATATATTATCGTTCTTATCGGTGATATTCAAAACGATCGATTGACAAAAAAAAATATGATATTTTAAAATTTTCATTTGATGATATAATTATTGTACCTGATAGGGAGAAATTTTTTTTTCAATTTTCAGAATAAAATTATCAAAATTTATGTTGATATTTTGAATATATATAAAAAGGGATGGACATTAAGTCACCTGTAGGGTCATTTGATGATTAATTTGGATCAATCATATGCTTTGGAGTCAGTTAAATCCTTGCGCATTCGCGACTCCGAGTCCTTTCAATCTTTCCTGCTAAAAGGGTTTCCAAGATCATGCGCATTACTCGAAGCCGGTATCCACATTGACCGAGACACGTCAAAAATCGAACGTGAAAGGTCCTGAACAATTTTTTTATTTTTTTTTTTTATGATGATCCTACCATTGGTGGAGATTATTTTTGAAATATCCGTAAAAAAAAAGAATAGGTCTTTGTTTTAACGATCGACTATTCTATTCAGCTTCTTAACAATTGTTTTTTCGGCCTCATGGAAAAGAAAAGGATTATCCCTTTCAGAAGGAAACGCCATATTTTTTTTTTTTTTTGGTCATTCAATTTTTTTTGTGTACTTAAAGGATTAGGATGGATTTTTTTATGAAAGAAATTTTTTTTCGTTTAAATTTCCGAGTTCTAGTTTATTCCATCTTTTTTTTAGTATAGATTTTTTAGCAGATTTATTTTAGTATTTGTTTCTCTAAACATTTTATTCATCATTTTTAAGCAAATAATTATTAGGTACGCTATGTAATAATTTTTATTTTTATTATTTAGAAAAAAAAAAATTTTAATAATATTTGATTAGTAACGAACATTCTATATTAATTAGACAGAAGCTTCTTAATTTGAAATAAAAAAAATTTCAGTCAAAAAATAATGTGTATATGATTATGAAATCATTATGAAATGAAATTTATGAAACAACTATAAATATTGATTTAATTATAATCAGAAAATAATTTAAATTTTTTCTTATAATTTTAAACAGCTATTTGAATTTATAAGACAGGATTCAAATTTTTTCACTGATGCCAAAAAAAAAAAAAAAAAAAATTGTCACATTTTCTAACAAGGTAAACCAATCAGCTGATGAAACCTTGCAAGATAATAACGAGTCTTCATTTTTAGTTGGTAAGCTTAAAGGCCAGCTTTAGGTTTTCTGCATTTTTTCTTATAGTTTTACAAAGTTAATAATAATAATAATAACCATGATAGTAATAATAATAATAATAATTTTTTTGGTGTTGTGTGAATGATGATATTCTCTTTAAGTAATTATTGTTTAAATTTTATCACATAGAGAATCATCTTCGATAATTACGTAATGATTTTCTTCCTGGAATAAAAATAGTTGATTTGATCAAGACGTCATTTGGTTAAATTATTTTTATAAAAGCTCAATTTCCCTTGAACTTTCTAACGCATCAGAAATCAATATTACATATCTATGTGATCAAGTGCCATATTTTAATTCTTAAAAATTCGCCTTGTAAAAATTTTTATTTTGCCCTATATTTTGTTTCTGCTTTAATTTTGATTATTGATAGTGTGCTATGTTGATTTCAATTAAAATCAATATGTAACTTCAATTTTTAGTAATTTCAATTATAATATTGGTACAGTTACTGAAAGATTTATGAAATGGTTGTTTTTTTCAAATGTTGAAAGTTTCAATTGTTGAGAATTGCAACCAATAGAAAAACAATTCTTTGTTTCAAAGAACGTTTCTTTGAATCAAACAAATTTGTGCATTGTAAGAAAATCTAAAACAAAATTTTGCTATTAATAACAAATTGTTAATACTATAAATCCGATTATAATTCTTTATCTTCTTCTTAATTTAATGGCTACGACTAATCAGGCCAATTCAAATCCGATTATAATTATCACGCCATGAACACGCTACCATGAGGCACACACAGCTGTTTACTAATTTACGTAGTCTGCGCAAACTCAATCGTGGTAACTCTGTGTATCTACTTAAGTTCGGAAGAAATATTTTATTGATTCAAAAAAATTATTTTTGGGTTCAAGAAATGATTCAAAGGAAAAATTTTTTTAATTCAAGACACTTCAAAATTTACTTTTGGTAAAAGCAAAGAAAATTTTTTTTAATTAAAATAAATTTTATCTTTGATTCAAAAAGTGAATTTAAAAAAACGATTTCTTTGTTTCAAAGAAATCTACTTTCTGGGTGTTGCTTCAATTTCTAATGAATATTATATATATGATAATAATTTCAAGTAATTATAGTTAAAAATGTTGGCGTTATTTAAATACTAATCTCTAAATTTGAATTTGAAAATAATTAATTCGATAGCAAAAAGTTGAAATAGTAATTCTTCTACTAATCTTTTAGTTAAAAATAACTATTTATTAGTGAAATTTACTTAGGTTATGTTAAAGTAACTAAAATGTCTGGAAACTAATTCGATTAGTCAAATTTGACTATTTTTTCAGTTATACTTTTCCACTGAAAATTATTTAATTTTTAGTACCTAATAATTATTTATCTTTTCATTAATTACTGAAGTAAAAAGTCAGCCAAGATTTTACTAACAATTATAGTTATTTTTAACTAATTGAAATTTAAAGAGTACTTATTGATAATAATTACATCTCATATAGAAATATCAATTCTTTACAGATTGAATCGATATATATATATATATATATATTTATATATATAGCAATATAATTTTTACATATATTATTATAGCTTCAGTTTCCAGTCAATTGAACCTATATTTTCAATCGTCAATAGCTTCAGTTATCCATAGTTTTAAATAATTGTATAGTTTTAATTCTATATAATTTGAACCAATAATTTTTAACCAATGTAATTGAAGTTACTATACGCAGTTTAAATTTTCGATAGTTTGAAATAATTGGTACAATGTTCCATTTTGAGAGGAATTGAAGCGTTGCGATGATAATTGAGGATAGTTCTAAGCAATAGTAGTTTCAACTATTGGTAACTTTAAATAGTCAACAGGATGTGATTGTTAGGTCCATTTTTTTTCGGGAACTTTACTCTTAAAATATTAAATGGATTGATTTGCAATTTTGCAGGAAATGTCTAAAATATGATGAGGAACAGCTTATTGTGTGTTGGAAAACTGTCATGTTTTGTTGTATTAATTATTATATAATAAATTTTGGAAATTTTTAGAAAATGTGAGGTTAGGTGTGACGTCACAGTTGAGTATTTTATAATAATTAATTCTTGTATAGAAAATTTTTAAATTGATGATGATTTAGGAAACTGTACCTAACCTCCAAAATATTTCCTACATTGTCTACTCTCTAGGGTGCTTGATTGGTTAAAAATATGTGCGCTTATTTAAGAAACGTTTAGTTCAACAAATCTCACAGCATTCCGAGAAAAGTTCCGAACTATATTCGGCATATTTCGGAAACGTTGGGGAATCAGTGTTGGGTAGTAACTATTGTTACTAGTAACTATGTTACTGCAAAAGTTACATTATTTGTAACTTATAACGTAACTTAGTTACTATGTAACTTTTAACTTTAAGTTATTTCGTTACTTTCTTTGTACTTTTTTTCTTACTTTAAAAACTTAATAATTTCGTGTTTCAAAAAGAGCACACAAAGTGATAGTTCCATCGTGTTCGGTTGGTTTACTGTTATAATATAGGAGATATACCTACCGGCATAATTTAAATACTGGACAAGATTTTTTTTAATACAAGAAATTAATTTAAAAGAATGTCAGCAGTATTTAATTGTGATATTTTTTCGGTAGTAACGAAAACAAAAGTGACTAATTTTGAAGATTTGATTCCATGTGTAGGATTTGTAGAATTTTTTACGTTTACTCTAAGGAAGAAAATAATTTGAAATTAATAAATACATCTACTACAATAATATTTTACATTTTAATTTAATTTCCATTTAATAAAAAAAATTGAATTTCGATAATACAGAAAATTTTATAATAACTTTTCAGTAACTTGAAAAATAACTTCGCAGTTATTTTTTAAGTAACTGTAACTACCCGTGTAGAAATTTATCGTGGAAGTGTATGAGAAACTCTCCAGTTGTGCTAGATTCAACCTAGCATCTAGATGGGAAAACTGGACAGGCTTGAACGTGGGATGTAACGCTAGCAACGTCAAGATTTTGTACAGGTCTTCTGTCTATTCCTTGTCTAGTAAAATAAAGTGATTCTAGCCAGTTCCACGATAATAAAAAAAGCAGTTTCTACCTACATAGAATAATTGATATTTATAAATATAAAAGAATATTTTTCAATTTTACTCTTTCGTTTTTCTAACAGAACTTATATTACAAAAGTATTTTTTAATAACACAATTCCTCTTGCAATTATTTTTAAAATTAATTGTAATACAGTTTGTTAAATTGGATTTTTTCTTTAAAACAGATACACAGTCACTACAAAAATCGTACTTGTATATTGATAACTAATTATATATATTCTTGCAATCACAAAAAATTCACTCTAAATTGTCAAGTTTTATTATTTATTATATAAAGATTGTATATTTTGAGAGACAATCTCTGAGACTATAAATGTCCTTTTTCTAATAATTGTTTGTTTTATGCTGTATATTTTAACCTGCACGCTGAAACTGTTCAAAAATGCAAAAATATGGAAACTGATCACTAGATTTATAAATTTGATTTTTTCTTCACAAAAAAATAAATTCAACAATAAACCTTTAGTTTACTTTTACCGTGCACTATGTCAAGAACTGATTTCGTCTGCTAGATTAACGGATTCGCAGTGCCACCTTCTCTACGACATATTATACTAAATTCTTCAGTCAGGATCCTAAACTGGGCCTGGCTAATTCCTAGACAACCTACTATACGAACTTGTACTGAATTTTAAAATCAGTGTCCTAGACAAATTTTAGCTAGATTCTAGACAAGCATTTATATCGAAGAAAATAAAGGGAAAACTGTACATTTACTTTTCGGGGCCAGGACAGTTTTTTCAGAATAAATTTCGACGACAAATACTGTCTAGCATTAGTCTATTTCTAGGAAGGCCACGATAAATTTCTACATGGGGTTACTAAAAAAAGTAACTTACCCAACACTGTAGGGAATATATATACTATAATGGACTATACTAGTTTTCTGTACCTATACTGTTTTTTTTTCTTTATACTTAATTTTTGTTTTCAAATTAATTATTTTTAACTAATTCAAATTTATAGAGATGAGATTTATCAACCATGTTAATTTTATAATAATGAATTCTCCAAATAATACTAAATACTTTAATAAAATAATGGATTTTTTTTCATTTTCCTCTCACGATTCATGAAATTTTCTTGCAAACTCCCTTTTTGTGAGTCTGGTCGTTGAATTTTATAAAGGGAAGTTTGCTTTTCTGTAATAGACTTGAAATTGTAAAGGGTATGCATGCAGACAATAGAGGTAGATGAATTCCATTCACGCTGCTGTATAAAAAGAAGGGGTAGAAAAAAAAGTAACTGATATATAGATTTCACGTCAGATAGGTATATATATATATATATATATATATATTCACTATTGCGCTCTGTCGGTCGATCAGCGGTTATATAGTGCACGAGGTTTAATACCTGCGGAGAGAAGTTAGCCGGTGTTGTTAAGTGATTACCTAATGTGCAACATTTTGTTGTTTGTCTTGGTTATCGCATTATATTAAACGAAAGATAATGACTTTCTTATTTCACTCAATTATCATTAAGAATTTCTATATACACACAATTATCATTTTTTAATGATGTAATTAGTAATTATGAAATTAATTATTAATTATAATTAGTTAATTATTTAATTATTATTCTTTCATCGTACAACTCAATTTTATTAAAAGGAAATATCAAATTGTAAATTTTAAATAACAAAAATATATAATAATTATTATATATTTTTGTGAATTAAAATTTATTTAACATTATTTACGGTTCAAATTCAAATTTAATTGTCCCTTATTATTATTAAAAGCATACATTTTAAGCTTTATTTTAAGGGGTAAAAAAAAGAAATATAAACTGTCCTTTATTAAAAAAAAAAGTCAAAAATATTTTTGATTTTCAAAAAAAAAAAATTTTCACCATTCGAAAGAGTAGGAAAAAAATCTTTCGAAATCATATTGGACAAATTTTTTTTCATCCTTTTATACAATAGTTATGATTTTTTTCAAAAAATCCACTGTTCATATTTTGGCAATTGGATCACTTCAGGAATTTCGCCTCATATGTATATATAAAATTATTATATATATATATATATATATATATATATATATATTTTGTGTAAACGGAATTGAGATAAAAAAAAGCTTTGATACCCTTATAAGTATAAAATTTTATGATATAGTAAATTTTTCAGAAACATATTTTGATGACTGTTAATATGCAAAATCTAAAAATATATGTGAAGGGCTCTTAGATGTTCTTGAGACGATTAAATGTCTCCAGGACGTCTGGGAGGCAAAATTACTATCCAGCATGCCACATTAATTCGCGTCAGTAGTACTAGCAGTTCAACGTCAGACGGACTGTTCAGATAAAGTTTACTTTATCTGACCAACTATTTCACTCTTAAGTGTTGATAAATTAATTAAATTTTTCTGCTCTGCTAAATCTTAAACAAATAAATAAAGACTGTCTCTCGCAAAAAATCTATATAAGAATAATAATAATCATTATTATAAAAGAAGTGCCAAAAGTTTTATAACCAAAAGGAAATGGAATTAAATTTTACAGAATATGAGTTTTTTTTTTATAATTAGGTATAAATATTGAATTGAATATGTTTCAAATTAATTTATAATTTAAAGTAAATATAGTATAAAATAATTATATATCTAATACAAATTTTAGACTCGTATTTACAATTATACAAATTAATTTTTTTATATTTTACCTACACACGTATAACTAAAAGTTTTATTTATATAGAAATATTTAATACAAATTAATTAGTAAACTATACTGCTGCTAATTTATTAGTTGTGGTTACTATTTTTATTGGTTGGCATAACTATTTTATTAGTTGGTTTAACTAATTAGTTTGTTGGAATAACTATTTAATTAGTTACCTTCTTAACGAAGTGGTTAGGCTGACTAACTAAATGGTAACAGTATAATTAATATAAATTAGCAAAAATACTCTTATTAACAACACAGAAAATTAAAAGGCATTAAAAGAAGCTGCAACGCTTCTTATTTTAATCCAATTTTGCTTATTTTAATACCAAAATGGATTAAAATGAGCAAAATTGGATTAAAATAAGAAGCGTTGCAGCTTATTTTAATGCCTTTTAATTTTCTGTGAAAATGGTAATCGCAACTAATCGTTTCTCTCAGTGGCATATTTTTTATTATATCACTGAAAAAGTTTCATTTGTTTCAAAATAATCGGTTACATTTTCTCTAAATTCGCGAATCAATTATTTCTGTATTTATGCAATAAATAACATTTATAATTGACTCGAATAGTAATTATTTGAATCAATAAAATTTTTTCGATGTTTTATTAATATATTATCATAAATAAAAAAATAGAATCGTAAAGATAAAATGTCACTAAAATGAATTGATTTTGATATTTAAGAAATGAGTACTATGGATCCTGCTGGGGATGGTGGAGGGGGAGAGGAATCCGGAACTGACAAAAATACAACCGCGGGTACACCTTTGACTCAACATCAACAGCATCCACCACCTTCACCTCTCAGCGGATGTTATCTTCTCGTGGTGCTTCCAGAACCTCACACCGCACAACATAAGGACCTCATCTTAAGTCGCCTCGCAAAAGGTAAGTTTTTCTTTAATTTAAAAAATCAAAAATTTTTATTTCATTTTTCAAATATTTTTAAACAGTCGCATCTAAAAAAAAAATTTTAAATATACATCATATATGTGTATCGAAAGATACCTAAGAAGCAAATAATTTTAGGTTATATTTTGAAATTTTTAAATAAATATAAACAAAAAGGATCAACCCTTAATATACAAATGATTAATATTTAAATCTATGTTTCAAAATATTCAATAAAAACTTATTTCCATTTCATATATAAATTAAAAGGAACTTTTAATCAACTTAAAATTGTCGTAAACATAACCTATAATTCGTTTGCTTCTTATCCTTTCTTCGGAGCGCGATACATATTTCAAATAATATTTTAAAAAAAAATAATTTTATCACAATTTATTTGATTACTTTTGAACAATTAAAATTGTTCATTTTTGTTTGTCTCTTCGCTCGGGGGAAATTCGTTTTTAACACTAAATAAACGAGAATTTAATTTGCAATTAATGAATGATTTTGACCAAGAACAAAATTGTATTAATTGGAGCGGAAATTTCAACATATAAATAAATGGATAACTTTTAGTATATATACCTTCACGTATTAATATAAATTTCAAATCTCGAATAATAAATTTTATAAATAATTTCTTTCGTAAATAATATTAATTTATATATTAATTATCAGACATTTTATTGTTTTATTAAACTCACAATTATTCTGCAATACATTATTTCATATGTAATTTTTTCGCCACAAAACACATTGGATTTAAATTTTATTATCTTGTTTTCCTTTTGAAAAAACAGTTTTTTTAAAGCAATAAATTGTTATAGGAATAGTATAAACATATTTTTTAAACGAAATTTTGTAATTGATTATTTTAATGGGTTTGATGACTTAAAATAAAATATATAATATGTATAATTGGTAAGTTTTCATTGTTAGGCCAAAAGAGTATCGATATTTTGGTTCCAGGGTCACGTGACTTCCGCATGCGTACAGATATCTAACGGTTCTTCCTTCTTTGCGTGTTCCTTCTAACTTATGCGAGTCCCTGAAATTGACAACTTTCTTATATTGTTGCTAAGCGAGCTTTTTGATAAAAAGAAATTCTTTTTATTTTAAAAATTCTTCCAAAAACGATTTTAAGTTTTTAATAATAATTTTTTAAAAAAATTCCATTTTCCCTTTATTCAAATCACTTTTTATCCATTTCTTTTTTTTATTCACGCATTTTCAAACACTGACCTTAATTTGCCTTATACGTATAATCGGTTCAAATTTTCATTAAATTCTTTATTATTTAAAATTAAGATAAAAAAAAAAAAAAATCTGAAAAGATTTCATAACGCAGTTGAGAATAATTATTTATAAACTTTTACAAAAGTAATATAAAAAAAATATAAAAGAAAAATATAAATGGAAAATAGAATTCTATATGGGGGAAAAATAATGAAAAAGAGAAGTTATAAATTGCATAAAAGACAAGAATAGTCGTATTGTATATAGAGTCTGTGAAAAAAATATGTTAATTATATAAATTCTAGATGAAGTTCATATCAATGGAACATGATATTGTGACATAAATCAAACTTGATAATACGACCTTGAAATTTTAACATCTATTGTTATATACTATATGTATATATAGTTTTCTCACAGCTTCGGGCATATGGAGCGCATTTTTTACATTTTCTTTTCATATGTACATTGCTATTTTCATCTTGCCTAGAATGTCATGTACATTTTGGCATCACTTATGCAAAACGATTGAGCTTCATAGTGGAAATATACATTTAAATGAGAAGATATTTTTATTATATATATATATATTACTTTTTTTTGACAAATTTTGACAGTTGAATCTATGATTTTGCTGTTAACCGTGTGTGTCGAGGCACTCTGCAAATCTCCACTTGACGTTCAGTTTTTCCGCAATGCGCCAATGCCATTTCAGAATATCACCTGCAATTCATTTTCTGCTTTACCACGATACGCGTCAGACCTAATGACCTTCAATTATTACAATAATTAAATATTATTAGGCAATTTTTAACTTGTATTATCGCAGTTTATGATCTCGAATATGAACATATTCATATACAAAACATGATATAATATATGATATATACATATATTGGGAGGATTTCACGTGAAGTGATGAAGATGAAAAAAATGTCTCTTTTCAAAAACGCGCTCATTCTTATAAATATAATTTTTTCAATTGTTAAATAATAAAATAATTTTTTTTCAATGTCACTTATGATGGTTTTTTTTACCAAAAAAAAAAAAAAATGAAAAATAAACTAAATTTTTTATTGAATGAAAGGCACAATTTTTTATTTATTTATTTTTTTAAGGGAGAGGGGGGACCACTGAAGCTTTAATCTACTGAAATTTTTATTGTTATTAGGCAACAATTTTTTTTTCCTAATATTATTTTAGAATCTAAAAATGACCCGTGAAGTTTCAAATTTTATTTAAAATTTACATTATGTAGATATTTTTTTAGAGATTTTATTTTTTGAAAAATATTAAATATTTTTAAATACGATTGATTGTTCAGAATGATGAAAGAAGTGTTAAAAAAAAAAATTGTCACTGAAAAATAAAATCAAATAATTTTTTTGTATAATTTTTTAAAATTTGAAGTACACTTTTTAAAATATACAAATGTTACGATTAAATAAAAACAAATGATAAATTAATTTTTATGACTCAATCACTTTATAGTTTGATATAAAAAATTATACTGTAGATAAATATATTTTAGACTTGTATCATGGTTGTAGTAAAAGAGCTTTTATTGTCCTTGAGTAACCATAAATGTCGGAACCATAAAAATTGATAGTACTAGAGAAATGTTCCCATAAATTTCTATTTTTCCTTCGTGTCTCGTGTATTATCAAAAGAAGACGACAAACTTCATATATACGATATTTTTTTTTTTAACACCAAGATTTCTTGTTGTTTACAAATATATGAGAGCTAGGGGCTGGTTGTAACAGGGGTAGGTTGTAACATGTCATTTTTGACGAAAATTTCAACTTTTTAATTTTAATTCATTAGATTCAATCTTATCATAACCCCTCGCATTATGCAAGCATAGCAAGTATTTTATTTGATGGCGTAGGGCGTAGAATAATGCCTAAAATTAATTTATTAGAAAATTTTTATTTCATATAGAATCTCATTAGATAAAATTTTCTTTTAGCCTAATTTTTATTTGTTCGAATTATTTTTCAAAAAAAATTCCATTACACCAATTTTCTATATTACCGAATTTTTATACAACCGAATATTTACTTCACAGAATTTCTATTTGTTCGAATTTTCATTTTTTAGAATTTTTAAGAATATAATATTATATGACAGATTTTTTACTTAACAAAAATTCATTTAACAGAATTGCTATTTGATTGAATTTTTATTTGACAGAACTTTTATTTGTTCAAATAAACAATTCGGCCTGAATTTTAAAATTAACGAATCAAAATTTTCTGTGTAATTTCTGATTGGTTAATTTTAAAATTCGTGCACAAAAGTCTCTGACGAAAGTTAATTTGAACAAAATAGAAATTCTGTGAAATGAATTTTTGGTTATATAAAAATTCTCTAATATAGAAAACTGGTTTAATGAAAATTCTGTCAGAAAATAATTGGAACAAATAAAAATTCGATTAAAAGAAAATTCTATCTTTAGTTTTTCTTCTTATGACTCTACAAGATTAGTTTTTTTTTTTGTTTTTAACAATCTCAACAAAAATATTATAAAATGCTCAAACAGAGAAAATTTTACTTTAAAAATACTTATTATCTAAAGCCTAACTTTCGATTTAAAAAAATTTATTAGTCAACCCTAATATTTAAAATATTTTACAAAAGCGTTATGCATTATATTTATCATTTTGTAAGAAGAGCTTATCCTTTTATAAATTAAAAATTTCATGTTTTTTATTACCTTAATTGTATCTATTACAACTTGCCCCAATACGGGGCAGGTTGTAATATCTGTTTTTTTTTTAAAGAATATGCCTTTTCTGTGAAAATGCGGAATTTCGTAATGTTTGTTTTATTGCAATTTATTGCAGAAATGATTGATTTATTGATAATATAGCAATTATAATTATAAAACACTTGATGATTTTCATAATTTATTCAATATTCTGAAAATTGTTACAATCAACCCCAAGCTTTCTTTATATTACATGTAAATAGCAAGATCGTTTAAGATAAAAAGTTGAAGTTTTTTAAAGACAAGCTATAGGATGTTACGGAGTAAGAAAAAAAAAGTGCTAATGGATATCCGATTGGATTCAATACTGATAATCGCTTGAATGCAAGATTGGAGTTAAAATCGAGTCTTCATAGAATTGGAAGTTGTTCTCTTTTCCTCTTGAAATTACCCGGAAAGGATAATTTACTTGTGTATTAGATTTTTATTGTCTCTTTAAATAAAGGCTTTTATCGTACATGTTCACCTAAATTATATTATTATACTATTATTATTATTTCGATATTACCTTAATTGATAGTCATTATGTAATTATTAATCACTTATTGATTGTTATAAGATTCTTTATACATTTATGTTTATATACATTTCAGAAAGTCACAATAATGAATATTATAAAAAAGTAATAATTTTATAATAAATATATCAATTATCTTAATAATAGTTTTCGATTATTGTTATAAATTTATAAAATAATTTAGTTTTCATTAAGAATAGTGCAGCAAAAAACGTATGTCTTATTTTAAGATACTTTTGTCCTAATTTTGAAGATATTGGTGTCTTAGATTTCGATCAATGACACTCATTTTTGCACTGAAATATAGTCAAAATAAATTTCTTTTTAAATTATAAATTAAATTCTAATTGAATTCAAATTATTTGTTTATATCAAGCAAATTAAATTCAAAGTTTCAAAGAAAAAGGAAATTATTTCTAGATTAAATTTTTTTTTATGTCAAAAGTGTAAAAAAAAGGTGAAAAATAA